CCCCGCCTAGGTACCCTTCCCTTTGTAAAACAACTGATACTTTTTTCTGGGAGCAATAGCTGCCTCCATCATTGTCGTTTGACTTATTCTATCGGTATTGATAGCCAGTTAGTGATGAACTCTCTTCTATGATCAATGCATATCAAAAATATAATCATTTAGCGAGTAGCGTAAGATGCTATACTCCTCGAGACGGTTAGCCAGTTCAGCCACACTTTTCAGAAATGAAAGATAACGAAGTACATTGAATATTCTGTTCCTTGAATGTACTATTTCCCTTTTATAGAATTCAGCTTTAGAATTACCTTTCAATTGTTTTTGTTTGGCGCGAAGATGCTCCTTGTAACGTCTAACGAAGCAGATATAGGTGAGAAGAGTGACGAGGATTAGGATAAGGATGGCCACACCACTAATGAGAATCACTACTTGCATGGGAAGAGCAAAGGCAGATTGACGCACTGGTGCCTCAGCAGTTTCACATCGCTAAATATGTATGCCTATTAGAGAGTCTCTCTTGTTTTAAGAACCAAATTTGACGGACCTCGATGTTGATAACCCGATAAAGGTGGTAGAGCTTAGAGAGTTCGCTGTTTTCAACCGAGGACTGCGACATAGCCGTCATGACGGCCCGCTCGCCCTGCACTTCTCCGTTCATAGCAGTATGGAAGCAGACAGAAGTCCTACAAGAACCTAATTCGTCTGGACAAAACTCAAAATAATTCTTTTTCTTTACCAGCTGGAAATTCTTTTATCTCTCTTTGGCTGCGAAAGGAATACTTCCATATTGCCTTCTGGATGGTCTTTACTCAACGCTGTTTGCACTCTTCTGAAGAAATTTTCTGGTCAATATTGACACCGATATGTAGCATTTTGTGCAAACTTTTCAAACTCTTCGCGACTTCTGGCAAATTCCTCTAGTGTCGTGTTGAACACATAACGCATTTTCATGTCGTCCTTCACATAATGGAACTGCAACGAAATTGTTTTGATTTTCGAAGTAACAAATAGCAGTAGTTACAGCAGAGAAGCATACCTTTTTGACGAATTGCTGCAGAAGTTCCTTCGAGGTGCCGGAGAGTATGTTGACAAAAACACTGTAAACACCTTGAGGCTGTTCAGAAATAGCTGGATTCGCGCGAATATCGCCAGATGTAGGCTCAACGAAGAACAATGAGTTTGTGCTGGAGTGTAGAACTCCAGCCGAGTTCTGAGCTCTGAATTAAGCATGTGTGAGCCTTAAGAAAATGTTGTTGTCTTCAAACATCAAAAAATAATATTACTAAAATTTATTGCGGCCCCATATCCGCAAAATTTTAAATTTTACAATCTCAACATCACTTATCATTGTCTATGTCTTCAGTGAAG